GCTGCGAGGGATCTCTTCAGGAAATTAAAACTTACAGAAGAAGACGAAAGTAGTTTTCTTTGGTTGAAATACTTGTTCCTCGAAATTTTTTCCTACTAACTCGACCACTGGGTGTTTATCCCAGTCCTCCGGAATGTCATCACTTTTTAAGAATGGCATCACCTCGCCCTTCAGACATTTTTGAATGAATTCAGTGATTTCTTGTTTCGTTATCTGAAAATTTTGAAATATTTTTAGTAACTGAAAGACATTTGTAGTAATTTTTTTTTTTGCTTTTATTGCAACCTTCTTTTCATGCTTCTTCTGATTTGACAAGTTCAATCGATTAAATTCAATTGATCAAATGAAGCTCTTTCATCGGAAAGCTGTTATTATTATTGATATGCAAATAAACACTGGACGTAGCTGAGCCAGGCTTTTCTGTTTTACCTTGTTTAGTTTCGATCAGCCCCCAACCCCTGCAAATAGTATCCAACAGATTCTACTTTTTTACATAAGTATCACTATCCAGTGCGCAACGTCCAGTGATTCCGCATTTTCTGCCCTCCTAATTTTACTTTCTTATGTGGTCATCTCGCTCGTAGCGGCATATATTATTCGATTTGGGCTCCAGTGATCTTCTGTTGCCTTGTGGTTTCACAAAAGTAAATGTTACAAAATTCAGGCAATTTGAAATTCGAAACAACGAAACGCAGGGTGGTTTTGATTTTATGCGTGCCTTTTTTATACTGACGAACCATTATCGTGCTTCAAAAAATTTACTTTTACCTCATTCATTTCCGCTTTATATTTCTTCAGGCCTTCGTCAAGATCGATGAATAGAACGCATGGCACATCTTCTGCGATCATACCGAGAAATTCAATCAGCTGCCAGTTCTCTTCCACATCTGTATTGATGTACACAAATCGAACCTAAAACATCCTGATTTATGAGCGATTAAGCGGAACTGCAGTGGATGAATTCAGTTTCCCGCTGTTTGATACATTCGGTACCCCTAACTGTTTTTTTTTTTTTTTTGTCGCATTTCCGGTTTTAAATTTTTTGCTCATTCGGCTGAATTTTGCACCTCTGGACTCATTCTGTGGCTCTTTCTTATCAACGTTTACATACGACGATTTTAACAGCACACGAAGCAGCAGAACCCCCTCTTCTATTTTCAGACGTAAAAACGTGACACGGAACCGGACAGTGAATTTCTTGCTCGCCCTGCTATCAGCCGTTGGACGTCGCAGATTAGTGACTGGAACCTGCAAGAAAGCAAACAACTGTTCGGGGAACCTCCGACTAGTCGATGCATGAAGACTGAATAAGCAGAAGCAGAGGGTACCAAGTGTAGGTATGAAGCTAAGGATCAAAATACCGGCTACTCCTGTGCCTCACATTCGTGAGCACCCCAGTGCATCGATGGTTTCCAGATGGGTTATTGGCTAGTTTTGGCAATCCTGAAAGTGTCTAATACTACTCGGAGATTTGTGAACTGTCGGGCAGTTTTGTTAGTAGGCGTTGCCTGGTGCGTAATAATTAGCAGAACCTTATCTTCGAAATTCTTTGCCGCTTTTGTGAATTCATCCAGATGATCGTCGTAGTCTTCGGACTCTTTCGATTCAATAAGCACCGCGAATTTTGTGTAATCTTTGCCTTTAAAGATCGAAGCGCCCGACTGCTTCACGAATTCCGTTACCCAGTTTTTCTTTTTCTACAATAAAATCTTTTAACCGAAAATTCCAAAATTTTTTTTTGAATAATTAAAGTAATTTTATTAGGAAAATAAGAAAACAGTTGAAGTAGTTGTAAAAGATATTTTGAAATAACTGCGTTTGGCAGTACTAAATCTCGACACGGTCACACAAAATGCACTAGTTTTTGAGAAAGAAGCACTCATTTGTGAGTTTTGGTGAGAGTTACAAAAATCACAGGAACAAATACTGATTTTTATGTTTTAGCGAGATTTTGAAATGAAGACACAAGCCTTCTATCTCTTTCTTCCCGTGACTGCTCCCTTTCTTTCACTCATACCCTCTGTTGTCCCAAACAGACCAAGCCGAATTTTAGTAATTGCTGTATGGTTTTTTTTTGTTGATGGCGTTTAAAGTCAGTCGTTTTAATGGTCAGTATTCTTAATGTGGAGGTAAAATGATATATAATAAGGAAAATGCCCGTATGATTCCCTAGAAAATATCGAATGCCCGCATTCCTTAGAAAAAACCCAGGCTGGAACGCACCGGGCGGGCCTGTGCGATCATGCGTTTTTGCACCGGACTTGAATTACTCAGGTCATTAACCGTATGAATGGCTGTTGCTTTACACTTACCTTTTGCGTCAGTTGCATAAATCACCATGAATTTTGCAAAACAAATGTACAGTTTCCACTTAACAGTCGTTCTTTAAAAGTAACCTAATTGCTCAGTGGGAATTTTTTCCGTCAAAACTTTTAAGTGCCCGTACATAGGAACCACACACACCTCAAGGCTGAATTTAGAAAACTTAAGTTGTACTTGGACTGGGAATATCCCCTCAAAATTTCAGCTTTCCAGCTTTTCTGGTTACCGAGTTAGCAATTTTCCCGCCAAAACCTTTACACGCCCGTACTTGGTTGTGCTTGGAAAGCTGAATTGGAAATTTTTAAATTGCACGCGGACAGGGAACATGCGTCTAAAATTTATACCTTCTAGCTTTTGTGGTTGTCGAGTTAGTAATTTTCCTGCGGAAACTTTCATACGCCCTTACGTGTGTACCATGCATAGTTTGGGACCGAATTTGAAATATTTGAGTTGCACTTGGATAGGGACATTCCCTCAGAATTTCAGCTTCCTAGCTTTCCTGGTACCCGAGTTTGCAATTTCCCCCTTGAAAATTTCATACGCCTTTGCGTGAGTACCACGCATACCTGGGTGCTGAATTTGAAATCTTTAGCTAGTACATGCACAGGGAATATCCCTACAAATTTTCGGCCCCTTAGCTCATGTGGTTCCCGAGATCGCTTTCCCGCCAAAAAATTTGCATATTTTTTT